CAAACCCAACATGCATAGGTAACAGTAATATCTAATCTGCATCTGATGATCACAATTACAAGTGTGAAGCATGCTACGGCTCTTTATACTGTTTAGAGAACAAATGGACTGTTTCCTTTGATCGTGTTATCGTTACAAATTCTTAAGATTCGTTTCTCTGGCATCAGTTCGTTTTATTGACTAGGATGGACGAATCTAACAACAATTGGCAACTTCCGCTCCCCCGTCCTCCTCCCCTACCCCCCTCCCCATTCCCCCTTCCTCTCGCCTCGCGCCCAGCCCAGCCCCGCCACCTCACCGCCCTCCCAGGCGTATCTCTCCGCCCTCAAGCAGCTCGAGCTCGACGTCGACGTGCTCACACGCGTCCTGGCGCCTACTGTATACTTGATGCAGAGCTTTCCGACGTCATTGTGTTTGCCGCTCCGCGCTCGACGCCTGCCGCCGCGCGCGCCCGCGCGCCACCCCTTTTGCGCAGCAACACCTTAAATTTCATGGCCCTCCAAATTCGGGTCGGAGCGTAGCGGAGTGGGCCCCGAGTTTGAAAACGGCGACGGACGCTTGCGTCCTAGCCGCCAACAACGCCTCCCCGGCGCAGAGGGGCCCCCGGAGGGATGCTCAACCGCTCCACGCCACGCCGCTTGCGGCGGTCCTATTCCACGCTCGCGGGCGCCGCTTCTTATCAATAACAAGGTCTGTGAAAAGAAAAGCACGTGGAGCACTCTTGGATGGAGTGCAAAAGCGTGTCTCGGTCCGAAGAAAGCGCGCTTGCGCTTGAGCACTCTGCGCGCGTCTCGCAAGCTCGACGTGGGCACGCGTCTCGGGTATGAGCTCCTTTGCATCGACCCCACGACCACCACACGCCGCCTCCCCACTATTCCCATCTCGCAACCACAGCACCCAACGCCTACGTCGTAGCGCACGCTGCGAAAGACCGCCAGAACGAGATGATATCTCTGACTCATGTCCTCGCATTCTCGCAGGTCTTCTCTCCGCTTCACGCCCACCTCACATCAGCAAGTTTCTCTTCAATCAAATTCGAAACGCACATGCTCATCGCATACTTTGTGGCCGCATCTGGGGCAGCAGAGCCGCCACTCCATGGCCGAAAGCTCAGTCATCTCCTCCCCGGGCCTTTCCCGCCCTCTCCACCTCCTCCCTCATATCCCTCGACGCGGCCTGCTCCGCCGTCATCGCCTTCCGGTGAATCCACGAGCGACGCCTTCCGCATTGTCTCGGGCTCCGCCCACTGCCACCTCTCCACGAGCACCGACGGCAGGAGCTGCGCCACGGACGGCTACGGCGCTCACGGCAACAACGAGGCCTGCATCGTCGAGGTGCTGCAGACCGGCCTGCTCTCCGCCACCGAGTTCCAGACCGAGTCGTGCTGCGACTACGTCACCATCGAAGGCACGCGTTACCAGGGGACGAGCGGCCCGAGCAACCTGCCGGTCACCGCGGGGACCAGGTTCACCTGGCGGTCGGACGGATCCGTGACAAGCTCAGGATGGACGATCTGCCTCCAGCCGCTTTCGCCGCCGCCTACGCCGACGCCGCCGCAGCTCGTCTCAGAGCTCGATGGCGTGCGCTTCACCCTCGTCAGCGAGCACACCTGCGCGGACAACAAGGTCATGTGGTGGCGGCACGAGCCCGAGGCGCAGAGCATGGCGTCGTGCGCACGCGCGGCGGCGGCGCACGAGGGGTGCGGCAGCTCGATCATGTGGTCTCCCTCCTACTCGTACGACTGGGGCTGCATGTGCTGCTCCCAGACGCCCTCGACGCGCCCGCACGTTTACTGGCGCATGTACGCCTTCGAGCTGCTCGTGCCTCCCTCCCCGTCGCTCTTCTGGGCGCGGCCACCGCCGCCCTCGCCTGCTCCGCCGCCGTCGTACACGGCCTTCCGCATTGTCTCGGGCTCCGTCTACTGCCACCTCTCCACGAGCACCGACGGCAGGAGCTGCGCCACGGACGGCTACGGCGCTCACGGCAACAACGAGGCCTGCATCGTCGAGGTGCTGCAGACCGGCCTGCTCTCCGCCACCGAGTTCCAGACCGAGTCGTGCTGCGACTACGTCACCATCGAAGGCACGCGTTACCAGGGGACGAGCGGCCCGAGCAACCTGCCGGTCACCGCGGGGACCAGGTTCACCTGGCGGTCGGACGGATCCGTGACAAGCTCAGGATGGACGATCTGCCTCCAGCCGCTTTCGCCGCCGCCTACGCCGACGCCGCCGCAGCTCGTCTCAGAGCTCGATGGCGTGCGCTTCACCCTCGTCAGCGAGCACACCTGCGAGGACAACAAGGTCATGTGGTGGCGGCACGAGCCCGAGGCGCAGAGCATGGCGTCGTGCGCACGCGCGGCGGCGGCGCACGAGGGGTGCGGCAGCTCGATCATGTGGTCTCCCTCCTACTCGTACGACTGGGGCTGCATGTGCTGCTCCCAGACGCCCTCGACGCGCCCGCACGTTTACTGGCGCATGTACGCCTTCGAGCTGCTCGTGCCTCCCTCCCCGTCGCTCTTCTGGGCGCGGCCACCGCCGCCCTCGCCTGCTCCGCCGCCGTCGTACACGGCCTTCCGCATTGTCTCGGGCTCCGTCTACTGCCACCTCTCCACGAGCACCGACGGCAGGAGCTGCGCCACGGACGGCTACGGCGCTCACGGCAACAACGAGGCCTGCATCGTCGAGGTGCTGCAGACCGGCCTGCTCTCCGCCACCGAGTTCCAGACCGAGTCGTGCTGCGACTACGTCACCATCGAAGGCACGCGTTACCAGGGGACGAGCGGCCCGAGCAACCTGCCGGTCACCGCGGGGACCAGGTTCACCTGGCGGTCGGACGGATCCGTGACAAGCTCAGGATGGACGATCTGCCTTGAAAATAATCCTGCAGTCGACTGCAGTTCTGCTGCGGCACAGCAGTGTCGCGCGCAGTGCACGCACTCCTGGTGCGCCCCGTGCGTTTCCGACCCGAGCTTGCTGATCTGTCTCGACTGTGAAACATGTGCTTCATGCGCTCCCTACGCGGCGTGCTTGGCGCCAGACAACGACGGTTTTGAGGGTGGCGTCGAACTCATTACCTGCACCTCCGATGACTGCTCAACCGGTTGCACGACGCAGCCATGGACACAGCTGACGATCCCCACGGGAGAGTGCATCGCCAATCCTCAGGCAGTGACAAATCTGCCTTGGGTGATGTTGACCTGTGACGGCGATACCCTGACCGGAACCTCATACATCACGTCGGACTGCTCCGACAGAGGCACCACAAACCTGTTTTCGACCTGCCAGTCCTCGGACAACTTCCTCGGCGATCTTGCACTTGCCTTCTCAGACAGCCTTCTGGGCGGGGCCGCTGTTCTCGGTGCTGGGTCTGTGGCGTTCGTCTGCAAGACACCCGCCGCCACGGTGGTCACCTCCTTTTCACTCGCCGGCGCAATCGAAAACTTTGGCGCACCAGAGCAGGCGGCGCTCAAGGCGGTGCTCGCCGCAGGCGCCGGCGTCTCGCCGTCGGCGGTCTCCCTCACGCTCTCACCTGGCTCCGTTATCGTCACGGCTGAGGTTCTCTTCAAGGTCGCGGCCGCCGCCACCGCGGCGGTGAGCGCGCTCTCGGGCCCGGGCGGCCTCTTCCAACACGCGGGGAACCTCGAGTCGGCGCTCAAAACGAAGTTCCAGGCGGACGGACTCGACACCACCGTCACGGTTGAGCACATCGGGCTCCCGAAGGTTGAGGACGAGTCCAACGACGGCGGTGGCAGCTGCGGCGTCGGCTGCATCGTCGGCATCGTTGTCCTCGGCGTCATGGCTCTCGCCTTGGGCACACTTCTTTTCTGTGGTTGCGCCGCCTGCTGCAAGAAGGCGGGTGGGGGCAAGCCAGGCGCCGCCGGTGCCGCCGATGCCCGGCCAGTACCTGTGTCAAGCGGCACTCCTGCTGTTGTTGATGCCGTTGTCGTCGAGGCAGCCCCAATGGCCGCCGCCGGTGCCGCCGCAAAAGCGCGCGCCCGGGCGCTCGCAGTGTAGCGCAGCCACGTGCGAGCAGGTTCAGCCCCAGCACGAGCCAGACGAAGCGCCCTGCATGTTGTCCATAAGCTGATGCGTAGATGCATAGCGATCCGCGTGTTTAGTACTTCACTTTCGGGGGCGTTTAGGGAGGGGTCGGGGAAAGCCGGGGTGCGAAGGGTCGGTCGCGTGCGGCCGCGCGACAAGGGCGGGGGGGGGGGGGTAGATCAGATCACCCACTTGGGGAGGTCGGCGGTTTGACTTGAAGTCGTTTTTCTTCTTTCTGGTTCTCGGACCCCAGCGACCACAGCAGTGGAAGCCAAGCTTCCTGGCGACTGTAGCGAGCGCCCACACGTCGAAGGGCATCTCACAGCGCGAGAGGCGTGCCGAGACCGATACGCCCTGGCGCCGCGCGAGCGTCCGGTGGGCCTCCGCACCAAGCGCGCGGCCGCCGCGCGCATTCACGGCGGCAGCGGCCGGGGGCGGAGCGCGTGCATAGGCAGTTGTTATGGCGCGGATTTAGCAAGTCAAGCCGCAGACGTCGTCCGCCGCCGCCTCCACCACCCACATGCCTCCGCCCCTCTACGCATCATCTCAAATGCTCTCTCGGGCCGGCCACAAGCCCCCTAAAAACCCAAAAACCCACGCCGTAAAGGGGCCGCTGCCCTTCCCTCCTCATTGCACCTCGGAAACTCAGAGCCACACGATGGACGCCATGTCTGTCGGGCTGCTCTTTGGAAGCGTGACCTTCTGGAACTTCGGGGTGCTCTTGTGGCTGCTCGCTGCGGCCCTCCCTGCAGCATCGGCTGCCATAGCAGATGGCAGTCCGTCCGCGCAGCCGGTTCCTGTCATCCTCGACACAGTCGGAACCTTCATGGACGACAGCTTCGCGCTCGCGATGCTGCTGCGCACGCCTCATCTCGTCCTCAAGCTGCTCGTGACTGCCTCGCACGACGTGGTTGGCCGCGCGAGAGTGGCCGCCAAGCACCTGAGCCTCGTCGGGTGCGACGCTGTGCCGATCGGCATCGGCGTGCCGTCGGACAATGGCACCGGCGCGCTCTTCCCGTGGGCCGCAAAACAATTTTTCGTTTGACGATTTTTCGTTTGATTTTTTGTTCATAGCTGCGCAACCCTAGCCTAGCTCCACTTTACTCGAGTACCTGCCCCCTGCCCCGTCCGTCCCTCTGAGGACCTCCTCTCAGCGTCAAGGCCCGACGTGGACTTGAAGCGGGAAAGGTCGTAGTTTCTGGCCGATGCCTCAGAGCACTGCAAGAAAGGCACGCGGACCGACTGACCTGCGCTCGGAGACGTCGGACCCGTCGCTGGCATGGCGCCTCGATCCGGCGCTGCAGAGCGTCTCCCAGTTTGGCCTCGTGACCCTCGCCCCGACGACTCAGCGAGCGATGGAGAAGCTGTGGAAGGTGCTCGACAGGGACGGCACCGGCTCGTTGACGGCCGACGACTGGATCACCGACCACGACGGCGTCGAGAAGTGGGACACGCTGCGCGAGAAGCTCGGCGCCAACCAGGAGGTGTTCTCGATTTCGTACGTGCAGTTCATCGAGGGCCTCAAGGCGGTCGCGCTGCACAAGCCGATGGACCCGCCCGCGAGTCTCGCCGCCGCCGAGATGGCGGGCGAGATGACGGGCTTCGCGTGGGCGGCGTGGCTCACCACCGCGACCAACTCCGCGATCCTCGACCTGTGCGAAGAGCTGTACACGGCGGTCACGCGGCAGGCGACCACGCTCTGGCTGACCAAGGAGACGAGGCGGCAGCTCGACGAGCTCTGGCGGCTGCTCGACACCGACGGCAACGGCGTGCTCACCGCCGCCGACTGGGCCGCCTCGCCCGGCGGCGACTCGAAGTGGGATTTGCTGCGCAAGCACTTTGACCTCAACAACAGCGCCTCCATCCTCCCGGAGGAGTTTGTGGCGGAGATCAAAACACTGGCGCTCCTCCAGTGCGGCCGCACCACGCCGCCGCCGCCACACGCACGCTCAACACGCGCATCAGCACACGCACACGCGCAGAGCGAGAGAGAAGGAGAGGAGGAGGCCGCGCGCACGCTCTTGACGCCCACTGCCTGTTATCCGTGTCGTCTTGCTGAGCGCAGGCCGCTCGACACGGCCATCTTTGCCAACCCAATCACCAACCACAGTGACATGATGAAGGCACTCAACTCAAGCTGCAACCGCGCGATGCAGAACCTCTGCAAAGAGCTCTTCAAAACCGTGCGCAGCAGCATCCAACAGTAAGTGCGGCGGCGCGCGCAAGCGGCCCGCTCTTCCCAAAAGGGTGGTGAGAGCATGTGAACAACCATGAGGGGCCGACCAGTGAGCGGCAGCGAAGCACCTCTCTCGGCGGGAGTTGCGACAGATTATTGCGACGGCGAGAACCAAGAGGCGCGTGCACGAGGAGAAGGGCGGTGGATGGTGAGACGGGAGTTGGTGAGTTGAAAACGGGCGCGCGGGCCGCGGCGCAGCCCGCAGGGCGTGGAGCGTCTCTCATGATGCGTCCGTCCCAACAGCAACACCACACGAGCGAGAGAGCGCGGAGCACTTTCCCAAAATGTAGGCCACCTGGCGCTCTCGTCTTGGTCTCTTGCACTGTGTGTTTGGTCATTGCCACTTGGCGCCGAAGACGGCGAAGTCTTGCTCTGTTCTCGAGGCTCTCTTGGGGGAGGGGGTCAATCCTCGGCGTCAGACAGAAAAGAAAAAAAACTCCGCCATTACGAAAGAGAATTTTCCAAAGACCACTCTACCGTCTACCCGTACCATCTCAATCGCACCTAATCGCACACCACCGGCACCTCGACCGCCCGCGCGTAGGCCGCCGCCGCCTCCACCGCCGTGTCGAAGGTGCCGAGACAGAGCCGCCTCCCGTCCACTTTGTTGAACGCCTGGAAGCGGCTAGCAGACTGCTGGTACACGTTCTTGTAGCCCGTGCGGTTGCTGCTGGAGAGGTGCAGGCGCAGCCCCTCGAAGTCCGCCACCACCGCCGGAGCCTCCCCGAAAGCACGTGCGTAGGCCACTGCCGCCTCGACTGCCGTGTCAAAGCTGCCGAGGTATTGGGGCGTTCCGTCGAAAGTCCAGGCTGCCTGGAATTTTCTGTCATATTGTCTGCTCACGCCCTTATAGCCGGTGCCGTTGCTGGAGAGGTGCAGGCGCAGGCCCTCCGCCTCTGGCACCACCTCTGCCGCTCGTTCCGCGTCTGCTGCTGTCTGCGCCGCCATCGCCGGGTCCGAAACCTGTCCCCCCAGCCCTCGCGCATGCCCTACCGCCCGCGCGTACGCCACCGCCGCTTGCACCGCCGTGCCGAAGTGGCCCAGGCGGACCTGCTTTCCGCCCACGTAGTGCTGCGCTCTGAAGCGGCCCGTGGCGAGTTTGGACACACCCGCGTACCCAGTTGTGCTCTTGCCGGAGAGGTGCAGGAGCACCCCGTCGGCCTCTGCCACCGGCGTTTCCATAGCCAGCTCTGTTGCAGCCGCCTCCGCTGCCGGCTCTTCCCCGTCGCGTCGGTCATCATTCCCCCGCGGAGGCTGCGGGGCCGATGCTGAATGCTGGAAGGAGATGGCGTCCTCTGCGGCCGTAGCGGCGGTACGTATGTGGCGCTTCCGCTTCATGTGCGTTGTCCTCGAGTAGCTTGGGTCTCTCACACACTTCCTAGGTTCGGGCTCCACGCGTGGCAGCTGAATTCTTCTTGTACCCAAAATTCTTCTTTCTGTAGCTACCTGTGCTAGTGTAGTGCGCGCACTAAAAAAAAGGGAATTTTATTACTGCGGTCCGATTTCGATCCCAGCGCTCGCCGCCACCGGCGTCCACCGGCGTCCACCGGCGTCCAAAAGAGGCGAGGGTGGCCGCCGCCGTTCGTCTGGAGGGGGTGGCGATGCCAGACGGGCCCGGCTCGATGGTCGGTACCGCGCTCTCCTTCGTTCCGGGAGGCGCGCTCCTCTCCTCCTGGCTCGCCTCCCTCGCGAGCTGGCTGGACAGCGCGAGCGGCCCGACGCTGGAGATCCCCGCGTTCATGGGCATGGACGGCGCCTATGTCGCCGAGCAGCGGAATGAGCTCTCTGAGTGCTACGGCTGGCTGCGGCTCGAGGGCCACGGCACGGCTGCGATCCGGCGAACGGAGGCTCACATTCACACCACCAACGCCGACTGGGCAGTGCTGGACCCGGACACGGTGCGAATCGTGCCGCAGCCGGGACACGAGGCCGAGTTCCGCTTTGGGCCGCTGCTACTCACGGAGGGCGAGGAGGTAGGGTGCGTCCTCATGCGGCCGGAGGACCCGAGCGCAGCCTGCGCGTGCAACATGCGGTTCGTGCCCGAGGAGGACGAGGACGGACCCGGTTTGCAGCATCCTGGATGGGGCGGGCCAGGGAGTAGGTAGCTCAGGGGCAGAGGCAGACGACATAGAGGCGCGCATGAACTCGTCGTCTCCGGCTCGTCGTATTATTTCGTTTGGGGGAAATGGGTGCGTGCGTACGTCAACGTGCGTGTCATACCCCGACAGGTCTGCCACAACGTCTTCCTGGGCTCGGCCGTATGTGTGAACGCGGCGGCGGTTGCGAACCTCCGAGTGTCGCATGTCTTGAGCATCGTCGATCGGCGCATGGCGGCGCCGCCAGGCACGACACATCGCCTCTGCCGCGTTCCGGACGAGGAGAGCGCAGACCTCACGCCCGTAATGCGCGTCGCGCTGCCCTTCCTTGCCGCGGCTCTGCGCTCCGGCGGGCACGTCCTCGTGCACTGCGACCGAGGCGCCTCACGATCTGCCTCGGTTGTCATTGCACACCTAATGCAACACCCCGTAAAAAGCCAGTGCTAAATAAATAAATAAAAACGGACACCTCTCTCTAGACTCTACGACTCCACTAGCACTACTGTGAGGTGGGTAAAAAAGAACAGGTCCCCGCCCTTGCGATCTTTGTGCAGGGTTCTTTGTGGGTGTGGTCGGCGCTAGCCGGGGTCGTCCTCCCGGAGGCCGAGCGTAATGTTGTACCTCTCTACCCAAGATTAAGTATTAAGACTGGAGATCCTACTTCCTAGCGCGGATCTCTCACACGGACACGCCCAAGTCTCGCCAGTAGATCCCTCCTGTCCGGTTCCCCAATTCAAGACTTACTCGATAGCGGTCCCGCCATAGCTCCACGGGGTGCCCTCTAGCCCGTAGCCCGATCCCGATCATCCGGCCCGCTGGGTGCGCTTCTTAGCTCCCCGGCCCTGGATGTGAGGCTGCCGCCTGCCGACTGCACTCCAAGTGCTCGCCAAGTGCAGGAATCCGGTGCGCACAGCTTCTCGCAACTCCACACTTTCTTTTTGGGACGTCATCGTGTCGTCAACATCGACGACCGCACACACCCGTCACCCTGCACCCCCTCGAATATTTTTCTCTCAGATTTCGTAAACGTAATTCGTTGCACATGTGACCGTGCGTGGCGCGCCACTTTCGGCGGAGTAGGCGTGCGAGGGAGCGGCAGAGCTGGCCACCGGTGTGGCGCAGCGAGGGACGCGCGCGGGATGCGGCCGCGGCCGCCACCGCGGGAGGCAAAGGGCGGGTAGTGCCGGGTTGCGGTGCTGTTGTGGGGGGGACGACTCGCAACAGAGTTCACTCTCCGCTGCGCGCCTCGATCTTCTTGGGCAGCAGCTGGTTCGACAGGTCCCCTCCGTGGCCTAGGCAGCCGCTTTCACCCTTGCCCCAGGTGAAGACAGCGCCGTCGGTGCGGGCGATGCTGTGCACCATTCCAGCCGACACAGCGACGACGCGCTGGCCAGCCAAGGCCTCGACCTTCTTCGGCAGCAGCTGCTCCTGCACGTCGCCGTGGCCCAACCGGCCATCGCTTCCACCGCCCCAGCTCCAGACGGCGCCGTCGGCGGCGACGGCGAGGCTGTGGTTAAATCCAGCCGACACGGCGACAACGCGTTGGCCAGCCAAGGCCTCGACCGTCTTGGGCAGCAGCTGCTCCAGCATGTCGCCGTGGCCCAACCGGCCATCGGCTCCATTGCCCCAGCTCCAGACGCTGCCGTCGGCGGCGAGGGCGAGGCTGTGGCCGGCTCCAGCAGACACAGCGACGACACGCCGGCCCTCCAAGGCCTCGACCTTCTTGGGCAGCAGCTGGTTCTGGTAGTCGCCGTGGCCCAACCGGGCGAGCCCTCCAAAGCCCCAGCTCCAGACAGCGCCGTCGGCGGCGACGGCGAGGCTGTGGCTAAGTCCAGCCGAAACGGCGATAACGCGACGGCCAACGAAGGCCTCGATCTTCTTAGGCAGCAGCTGGAACTGCTGGTTGCCGTGGCCCAGCTTGCCGTGTCCATCGCCCCAGCTCCAGACGGCGCCATCGGCGGTGATGGCGAGGCTCTGACTGCTTCCAGCCGACACCGCGACGACGCACTGGCCAGCGAAGGCCTCGACCTTCTTGGGCAGCAGCTGGTTTTGCAGGTCGCCGTGGCCCAGCTGACTCAAGCCTCCAAAGCCCCAGCTCCAGACGGCGCCGTCGTCGGCGAGGGCGAGGCTGTGGTATCCTCCAGCCGAAACGCTCGCAGCGCGCTCACCCAGCGTCGACGGGAGCCGGGCCGGCGTGTTGAGCCGCGTCACGCCCTCGCCGTGCCCGAGGAGTCCTGGAGAGAAGAGCCAGGTCGGCGGTGAGCCGCACGACGAGAGCCGCCCCTCGCCGTCGATGAAGAGGCTGTGCCGTTCGCTCGCCGCCGCCCTCGCCGGCGGGTTGGCCTCGCGAAGCAGTGCAGACAAGCACAGCCACCGCACGGCGCAGCTCTCGCCCTCTGGCAGCGTCGGCAGCTCGAAGCCGCGCTCTTGCGCCCACAAGCGTATGCCTTCCAGCGCGAGCGAGGCGTGAAAGAGCAGCGAGACGGCCGCGACGCGAGCGATGTCGAGGGGGTCGCAGCGAGAGAGGACGCGCGCGAGGAGGTCCGTGGGGAGGTCGAGGAGGCAGTTGGGCGGCGGCGTGTCTACCGAGGGGGCGGCGGTGGCGGCGGCGGACGCGAGGCAGACATTGCAGCAGTGAGCCGAGCGGCGCAACATTGCCAAGAAAAATTTCTCGCCTTTTTGCACCTGCGCCCGGATGCGGAACGGGAGGGGGAAAAAGGGGGCCCTCGGGGAATCCAGTCCCTGCCCCCCCCCCCCCCCCTCCCGAGGGGAGATGAGAGCTAGGCCCCCCCCCACGAGCGGGGCGGACGGCCGACGCGTGGAACCACGGCTGGAACGGCCGCAGGGGCAGGGGGCATCCCCCGGGGCCCCACCCCAGGAGTTGCGGCGGCCGGCACCGCCACCAGGCCCGCCTCCGCCACCACCGCCTCCGCCCCCGCCGCTGGAGCGACCGCTGGGTCGAGAAGCCGCCCCTGACTGAGGGCCCACACCAGGCGGTGCGGCCGCCAGTGCCGCCATCGTTTCCGCCACCCGCACTGCCACTTCCGCCCCCGCCACTGGAACGGTTGCAGGGTCGTGGGGCCGCCCCAGCGGCTCCGCACCAGGCGTTTGGGCCGCGAGGGCCGCCACCGTACCCGCCGCCCCTGCCACCGCCTCCACCCCCGCCGCCGACGGGGCCGCCACCGTATGGACCCGCTCGGAATAACCTGGGGGACCCGGGACCGCCCCGCCGGAGGTTGGTGTACCCGGGAGGAGGAGATGGGGGAGGGGAGTTGCCGCGGTACGATAGCGGACCCGCCGGCGGGCCGGAGGGCCGTGGCCGGAGGGCCCCGGGGGGGGCTTGGGGTCAGTTGTCGGAGGAGGCGAGAGATGAGCTAACGCGGCCTCTGAGAGTGGAGTTGGGACGTACGGGCTCACCGGGGGAAGACCAGTTGCAGGGGCGACCGGACCACCGCGACCTTCGACAGGGAGGGCCACGCCTCCCCGAGCCTGGAGAGGAGCCGGCGGAGGGGGGGGGCGAGCCAGGGACGATAGAGAGGCCGCGAGTGCGGGCACGACTCGCCGACCAGGGAGAGCGGGCTCGACCTCCCGGGGATGGAAGTGGGTGGGACCCAATGCCACCGTCCTCGCCCGGGGTGACCCCGGCCGGGCCGTCGACACTCTCAGAACCGGTGGAGCTGGGAGAGGCTGGCGAAGATGAAAGGCGGCAGCGGAGAAAGCGACACCAACAACGAGGGAAACGACCATACCGGTCGTCGCATAACGCTCGGGAGACGAGCAAGAGAGCGAATCAAGGAGGGTTGAGACCCTGGGAAGGCGAGGGGTGAGCCCTCAGGCGGGGGGGTCTACTCAAACGCCGACGCAAGTGAGTGTAGAGTGGTGGTGTGGGGCGTGCAGTATGGTGTTCATTAGCTCCGAGTAGAGGGGGCGTCCTGCAGTTAAGGGGAAACCCGGTACGCGGGGCTAACCCTCGGAGACCCGTGTTTACTTTAAGGCCCTTGCCCTGCGAACGCGCACCCCCGGGGCTAGGGCTTTCTTGCCCGCAACCCGATCCCGATCATCCGGCCCGCTGGGTGCGCTTCTTAGCTCCCCGGCCCTGGATGTGAGGCTAATGACTGCACTCCAAGTGCTCCAAGTGCGCGGCGGCGGCCTCTCCCTTTTCTCCCAGTAAGCTAAAAGTACAGTACACATCCGGCCTCGCTCCTCGCCGCCGCGCGTGTCCCGTGCGCCGCGGCTTTTGGCGTGCGCGTGATTGGCGCGGGCCTGCTTTGGGGTGTCGCCCACCCAACCCGTCCACTGACTGTGAGTCCCCCCACCCCCCCCTCCTACCCCCCTCTCCGCCCCTCTCCGCCCCACCGCCCTTCCCCCCCCCATCGGGTTGCCCGCTGCCAGCGAGAGAGACTGCGCCTCGGTGCCTACCGTCTGTCGCATGGGCCGTCTGCCTCTCTTTCCCGGACCCCCCC